TGTAACACCTAAATAGGCTGTCAGTTCCCATAGAAAGTCTCCCAGGATGTTGTCCTTGACAGGTTGCCCATGTGTTGCATTGCCTTTCCTCATCCAATCTAATTCAATATTTTCAATATGGAATAAGTTTTTTGTATGCCATTTAGTGATATAAGGTAGAGATTAAATGGTGTTTAATTGAAAAAGTGAAATAAAAAATAAAATAAAAGTTGTGTAAATAATATAAAAGTTTTCTGATAAGTAAGCTACAATTGTCCTTCCTTTGATTTATTGACTAAAATTGACATATTTTGTGAAACATATTTTTTTAAGGTCTGTAACCAATCTCCCATTTTTCCATATATAGAATATTTTTACATAGATTTTCAGGAACTTATCTGCCATATAAAAACAGAATTTGGCATACAATATGTATTATAAATGACTCAGTAGTACGGTAACATTGATCAGGTAACACGGACAACTCTTTATTCACACACAACTGAACACTGGTAGATCTCACTGGCTCCCTGGAGCTCCAAACATGTTGGTCTCTTTTTCCTGCCACCATACACTTGACCTGTGTTGCCACCTTCCACATGTATACATTAAATTTAATGTTTAATTATTTTAATATATTAACATATATTACACAATAGTTTATGGAACCCTTGACATTGAAGAAATGACTTGGAAAGTACAGTACTTGCAGAACTTTTTTAACAGGGTTGTTGTAATTAATTAATATACAGGATTGCCTAAAGTCAATTAACATTACAAAGACTAAATTACTGTCTTATTTGACTACATATTGATAGAAACATAATAAAGATAAAATTTTTGTGAAAAAAGATAAAGTTTTACACTGTTTCCAATTCATATTTACAAGTGTACCTAGACCATACAAAACAGAACATAATTAACTGATTTTTTGGTCACTGTATATTTAAATATGCTTATATACAATTAAATTAAAGTTAATTTTTCAAAGTAATTAAGAAATGATAAATAAATAAATAACATTTTAAAGATGTAAATTATGTTCTTTAAAAATATATAAAGTTTATTAAGTGTAGATAATGTATAACTGTACCATAAACATAATCCAAATTTATAAATAATTGTGGGATAATTACATTTCAATTTCTGTTTTAGCTTTTAAAACTAAAGCATTTTAATAATTTCTAAATCTGATGTATTGATTTTCCTCAGGAAAAATATTAANAATATATTAAGTATCCAATAATTTAGCTTTGCCTATTATTTACCATTAATCATTACCACAAGAAAGTTTTGTAAAATTAAGTTATTTCATCAATGTTATTTTTGTATTCATGAACTCTTTAGTTTTGACAGGGATTGGTTCTGCTTCAATATATATATAAATGAAATCTTTTTCTGTTAAATTAATTCTGGAATTAATAAATCCTTATAGGCTCTTTCAGTTAAATTTTATATAATAAGATATCTTCTACTCTATTCTAATTCAGTTACTGTAATAAATATTAAATAAGTTAACATTTCTTATGTATAAATATTTGAGAAGTATGGTTTATACTTCACTCTCTTTCTTTCAAAGTTTTTCATATTTAAATAAGGAATCAATACTTCATTATTATTAAATCAAAGAACAGCTGCTTAATGGTATTGACTTTTGTGCAAGTTTTAATATCTGCATTTAAAACTTTTACTCTCATCTTTCAAGGTCAACATTTTTTTTATTATTGGAATTTTTCTTTGATACTGTATAAATTAATGACTTCATTGTTGTTTGATGTTTAGATAACTAAGATTTATATTGTATAGTATAGTTAAATCAGTTCTTTTGCTAAATATACATTACATAAAGAAAGATAAAAATTTGTAGAGGATATAAAAATATATAATTACTTAAGATTTTTTTAATAAATTGTAAATAGTTTACATAAACTGTATAGTCACAGAAAATAATCAAACTATAAATTGTGATACTTCCTCTGTATAAAAAGTAAGTAAAAACATCTTGATTAGAAGAAACATCTGAAAATATCAACCATCTATAATGATAAAATAATTGAAAAATATTGTTTTTATTCTTGAAATTTTTTTTTATTTTATTTCATGATAAAAATTTTATGCAACTACAGACATGACATACAGCATAAATGATACTCAGAAACAACAAATAGGAGATAAACACAATGAATCAACAAAAATAAGTAAATTTCTAGTGTAAAATAATAGAAGATTTTAATTAAGACTATTTTTATGCACTGTATTTAAATAAATGTAATATACTTAAGAGATTATTTTTGCATTTATTGTTAATTTTTACATTTATGTTAATGGTTAAATATTTAACTTCATTCTGTTATGTGGTTACATTCTGTGACTTTTGTATTTTAAATAATTTGTAGAACCTGAAGATAACTGAAGTGTTTATTCATTATAAAAAAATTGTTACTGGATCATAAAGAATTTTTTTGTTTTGAATTGTTCATTTTACTTTAGTTTTTTGTTTAAATTTTGCAATACATTTAAGAGGTATACATTTTATTTAACTTTTTATAAAGAATTTTATGAAAAAAAGAAGTAAATGTAGTTTTAAAATTTACTTCTATGGAGAAATGTAGTTCTGTAGATAGGAAGAAAAATCTTAGTTATGTGATCTTAGAATTATTATTACATATATATATATATATATATATGATCCATAAAATGAATAATGGAATATCAGTAATGGTTATAAGATGATATACAGTATATTTCAATAGATAGGAATGAAACAACTTCTCATTCTATTTGTTTACATCTAGCATATTTATGTATAAGGAACTCTGTGGTAAATTCAAACTTTAATTATGTTATTTCATTAGCTTTTAAATCTAGTACGAAGTTTCTGCTTCTAATAATTCTGAACTGTTTCACTAAAGATACTTTTATACTTTGTTTATCATTGATTTGCAGTTAACTGGCATAACAAAAGTGAAATAAATCTTGTTAATCTTGCATTGGTTAAGGAATATTAGCTATTTGACCTACTTCTGATGCTTTATCTCAGACTAAAGCAAACCTTTCTAGCTTGTTCTTTTATGTTGTAAAGCTTTATTATTATTAAAATAATTTATTATTATTTCTAAAAAAGTTATAAAAAATTTCTATTCTATTTTTAATGAAAAGAGCAAAGGTATGAAAGAGTTTTTTTTCTTTAACCTGAAAATCTTACTTTATCACACATATGTAACTTGTGTTTTAATATAAAAAAAATTTTTTAATTATTTTATCTCTTCAATGGCTTTCGAAATCTGAAGAACACTTACAACTTCTTCATAAATTTCAGATTAAAATCTTTATATATAAACTTAATTAATAAAAAGTAATTTATTTGAAAAGCAAGATATAATAATTAAACTTTTTATTTGAATTTTTTTAAAATTAAGATTTAATTTGTTCTCACCGTTGGTAGCTTTCTAATTTTAGATCTTTTTCTTGCTATGTTGTTCAGCTCTTTTAACTCCAAAGAACTAAAGAAAAAGAAGTTAGTATATGTTAATTATATGAATAAAATACATTTTTTTAAATTCAGCAAAAATAGATTTATTATAACTCAAATGAAACTTTTGCAAAAAATATTTACATTGATGTATTTACAATGAAATAATAATTTACAAATACAATAAATCTATTTTGTGAATTTTAATTTTAAAAAGTTTAGAGTTATGTTTGATTTATATGAAAAAAATTAAAGAAAAATTTAATATTCACAGTAATTATATATATATTTAAATTTTCCTCTTAATTTTGTAATACATCATTGTTCATTTTGCATTCCAAATATTGGAATGTTAATTGACTTGAAAATGATCTTAATATTAGATCGAAAATGTTAGTCAGTTTTAGTATTTGTTTTGTACTAGAGATTTAAGATATTAAAGGTAGGGGGCCTTTTTGTGCTCTTTTTGAGAAGTAAAGGGCCTAAAACCACAAAAAAAAAGATATTAAGGTGTGTTATTTTATGGTTTATAATATGTATCCAGTTTTGAATAGTAGAGAAAGACAATATTCTGGACTATAGACTATTATCTATTCTCTTTTGCATCAGTTATACTTAAAAAATTTTATATTTTTTAAATTTTTATTACGAATAATAAATTAATAAATATATGAAAACATTTATTGAGCATTTAAAAATATTAAAAATTTAGTCAAATCTCTGAACAATGGCCACTGACAGAAGCATAAAAAAATGGCAATTGTTTGGAAATTATTTTATATCCATTTCAAAAAGAAGCATTCCTGAAAAAATAGTTGCCATTTAGAGATGGCCATTATTGGAGATTTGACTGTATTAATAAATTTTGAGTAATGATGATCTCTAAATTAAAGAATTGAATTTATTAAAATAATAGTGTTTTATACTATTTCAAATCTATAAAGAAATTATAATTTAGCTAATATTATAATGGTAATAGCAACTTTTATTGTACAGTGCACATACTTTGATGGCTGAATAAAGTTATATTAGATGGTTGGGATATATTAGGTCCCATCTTTACTATCTTGCCATCCTAATTGTGAGTCCAACTGTACCCATGATGATCAGGGAAAAAGACACTCAGTGCTCACATGATAGATAACAGACAATTGCATTATGGGATCATTTTGTCATCTTATTAATTAATCCAGTATATCAAGAGTTAACAATACTACTATCGTTATCAAGCATTTCAATAATGAATATAATTTGAATTAATCAGTGGTTTTTCTCATATTTATAGTCAATTAGAATGAATTAACATTTATAAGTAAAATACATTTATGGATAAATTGAGAGAGAACTTGATCTAGTAGTTTCTGAAATAACACTTTGAAGATTCTATTATAAAAAGAAAGAGATATTTAAATATAACTGATAGAATCTTTTAAATTTTGAATTAATTATTTTAATTGTTACAGAATTATATTATGATTTATTTTTAGTTTTAAGTACTTATTTAATAATTAAAACAATTATTTTTAAAAATAAATTTATTTATTTTCAGGTTATGTGATATGAATTCTTGAAAATCTACACTTAACAGCCATGTTTTCTATTTATTTGGAAGTTTATGTTTGTGTTTAAAGTAAATTCATTCCATCCTTTAAAGCAGAATATATAAATAATGTTTCTAGTAAAAAATTTTACAGAAGTTAAATTAGAAGTAGATGAAGCAATGTATGCAAATTGTCTAGTTTATGTATGTACAAAGCTCTTAAAATGTAAAGAGGCAGATAAAATCAAAACAGTTTGTCAGAGTGAAAGCTATTTATTTTATTAATGAAAAAGTCCTGACAAAATATATTTTATTATAAATGGCTGTAACGACAAATACCGAAGAAGATCCAGCCAAAGAACTGCCTCTTCAATCAGAACCAAAGAATATATCCTTCTTTGATTGTCGCCGTCTTTGTTATAATGTGTTCAAACTTCATCGATTTAAAAATATTGAGGTGGAATATCTGTATCAACGTTATTTTTTGCACCTAAACCAAAGAAACTTAACTGCCCTTCTTGGAATTCTTGTAGCTACTGGAATCGTCATGTTGTTATTTAATTATGTTCTAAGCACATTTGGCTCTCTTTTACATGGCATTATTTTTACTATCCTAATAATAATATATTTGATAATGGGTTTTATCAGTATGCAGTCATTCTTTAATCAGATTTACTTGCTAGTGTTTTCCTATACAATTCTAACCTCCTTCTTTGGTTTTGTAATTCTTCTTGCTGTCAATTCTGGCACGTGTGTACCAACATCAGGGATATGGTGTGCTGTTTTTTTTGTATATCTGACTTATACACTACTACCAGTTCGAATTCAAGAATGTATCACATGCAGTATTTTGTTATGTGTGATTCAGATAGCATGTGCTCTTGGAATGAACTATGAAAATCCCTTCCTTTGGAAACAGGTATGATTTAATAAGTATGATCTATATCAGGTGTGGCCAAACTTTTATCCCTTAGGGACTACTTTTTTGGTAAAATATAGTCTGCGGGCGACTATGAATATGGACAAACAATTTTAGGATTTTTATATGTGCATGTGTTAACATTCGTTTGCATTGTTCATCGGAATTATCCCAATGAACAATGCAAATGAATTTAAATACAAACGGTATGGGTACGTTGCACAGACAGTCTATTATTGTAAGAATAAATTATGCGGTCGACCGCAGNTTTAAATATATATACTTAAAAATTTTTTCATTAACCTTTATATAGACAGTAAAAATATTATGAACCGTGATAAAAATAATGAGCCTATGTAGATCTGATGCAGTGAAATAGTCAGATTTTTTTTAATTGAGGAGCAGAGGGATAAAATAGACAGTAGGTGTTTGTTTGAATGTCATCAAATAGACTAGTAGGAAGAAATTTATGGTAATGGAGCAGTTATTCCTTCTAAACCCATGTGGCTATGCCACTAGTTTTCTTTTCTTTCCCTTTCTCTTTCTCTCCTCTTCTCTTTCTCCTTTTCTCTCTCTACTCTCCATATTGGAGAGAATTTCCAAGAGGTAAATTTGGCATTGGCTATAGGGCTGGCTCATCCCACCTACTTGAATGGTAGGACTGTGAATATAAAAAGTTGCACATCCTCTCTTTACCATCGTAAAGAGAGGATGTGCATCTTCATAGAATGCTTTAAGGGATTTCTTCACTTTTATAATTAAAATTACATTCTTGATAACATTACAATTAATTCCAATTCAAATAATTCACCATTTATTACACCGGAATTACTAAAAAATTTTACAGACCTGAACCATTTACGGTGTGATGATGCAAAACATCAGTAAACAAACGTTTTCGAACCCCTTCTGGGCTCTGCTTCAGGTTCCAATCAGTTTCTAAAAGGACGTTCGATATCTGTTAGAAGTAGAAATCCGTTCGATCCTGTCGTTTAAAGCTTGAGTTCGAATTGTAGGTTTGAATGGATTCACACGATCCAAGTCGCGCATGCACGACCAGTTCGCCCGTTAGAGTTTGATAGGTGAATCACAACATGCTCTAATTCACCCATCAAACTCTAACAGGCAAACTGGTTGCGCATGCGTGACTTGGATTGTGTGAATCCATTCGAACCTACAATTCAAACTCAAGTTTTAAATGACATGATCAAACGGATTTCTACTTCTAACGGATATCGAACGTCCTTTTAGAAACTGATTGGAACCTGAAGCAGAGCCCAGAAGGGGTTCGAAAACGTCTGTTTACTGATGTTTTGCATCATCACACCGTAAATGGTTCAGGTGTGTAAAATTTTTTAACTTCAATTCAAATGATTTTTAAACAAAGTTTATGTATTAATAATTTCAAAATTAATAATTTAGCTTTAATTTTTTTTTTTAGAATTAGTAAGCCAAATGCAAATTCTTTTATTATGTTTTAGGCATTTATATATGAAAACAACTATTTTGAAGTAGTCATAACAAATTATTATTCAAATTCAAATTTTATTTGCATTAAGGCTAAGCCTTGTTACAGGGGGTTTTTTCCAATGATATATTATTATACATTTGTTAATTTTCCACTGTTTAATATACAACATATTCAAGATCATTAATAACATTACAATAATCGTTTAGTATTAAATTTTATCATTAGTTTCCTTTTTAAATATTTTACTTTAAGTAACATAATTAGTAAAAACAAATTTTTTAAGTTTTATTAATTTATTACATATTTTTTAGTTCATTTGCAATTTGATTAAAAAAACCATTAATTTTATACATTTGATTTAACGTAAGATTGTTTAATTTAGTTCTAAAGTCTTGATTTTGCTTCGTACTTATTATTTCTATAATTTCATATTTTTGATGATATTTTTTTAGTCCTTCGCAGTCTCTTAGTATATGGTTCAAAGAATAGTCACTTGATTTACACCAATAACATCTGTCCTTAGTAAAATCAAAATAAGTATTATTGATAAACAATGAATATTTAGTAAGTCTTAATTGAATTAATAATCTTTTTATATTCATATTGATATTAGCAGTTATGATGTTCGAAGTAGACAGGATGTTTAAAATGTTGGTGTACCATGGATGGTATACAGACTGATATAATAAGTTTTGATCCATTATTATTGATTGAGAAAATGCTGATTCGATCATTAGAGAGTATCCATATTGCCAATTCGTTTCTGAACTATCAAGTAGTCTGTTTGATACACCAAAAGATTGTAATAATTTATTGAATTTATATTGCTATAGATTTTTATTGTTATCTGAGTTAAAATTTTGATTTAGCATTATTTGATGTAAGAATCTTATATTATCTTCATTAGACTGTTTTAATCTATAATAGAATTTAATCAGTCTCTTTAAATAAAACGGAAATAGTTGGAATCTGTTAGTTTCGGCACGAATTGCATAACCAGGAACTGTTCTTTCTATTTTATATAATTTTCGTAAGTAAATAACATGGAATTTTTCTAAATCGTATAATAAGTCTATTGCCCAAATAGGGCTTGCATAATATATTGAAGGGATAATCAAAAGGTTAAATAGTTTCATCTGTATTTTTATATTCGTCATTTTTAAACTTGCACATAAATAAATAATATTGTCTATTAAAGTATTTATTTTTGTAGTTAGATTTTTCAGGTGCGGTTGAAAATTACAATTCCAGTTGAATGATACTCCTAAATATTTTATTTCATTTACCAAGGTGAGAGATTGATTATTTAAATAGTATGATTTTTCTTGTTTTGGAAGTTTAACATTATTTCTAAATATAATTATTTTGGTTTTTGAGATATTGATCTTTAAAAACAGGGAATTCAGATAGTTGTTTATTATATTTAGTTTGTGCTGCAAAGCAATTTTTGTTGGTGCAAGTATTGGGTTGTTCGGAAAGTAAGTTCGTTTTTTTTACCACTAGACAGATTAGTGGTATTTTTCCCACCATTTTCATTCTAAACCGTATTATCATTATATATTTTGACAGCTAGCATTTTTTGGCTTATTTGTAAAAAATTTTGTTTGATTTCGTGCAATTGTTTATTTTTTGTGTCCCATCAAATATGGAAGATCGAAAGCAGCATCTTCGGCATATTTTGCTTTTTTATTACCAAAAAAATAAAAATGCCGTTCAAGCAAGAAAAAAATCGTGTGACATGTATGGTGGAGATGTGTTGACAGAACGACAGTGCCAAAACTGGTTTACAAAATTTCGTTCTCGCAATTTCAGTATTGAAGATGCACCACGTTATGGATGGCCAATTGAAGCCAATGAAAACAAAATAAAAGTACCGATTGAAGCAAACTGCGGAATAACAACACGTGAAATCACTAAGAGATTAAATTTGTCAAATTGAACTGTTTATGAGTACTTGAAACAAATTGGTTTCGTTTCAAAGCTCGATATATGAATTCCACGAGTTCTTAAAGAGAAATGCTCTATTTGGTGGGATATTAAGGAAATTTTTTTTGGAGCTTTTACCAGACAATTTAACAATTGATTCGAAAGTGTACTGCAATCGAGTAAACAAATTGAGTAATATCATCAAACAGAAAAGGCGGCCAGAATTGATCAACAAAACAGGTGTAGTGTTTTACCACGATAATGTCAAATTTCACACAAGTTTGGTAACTCGTCAGAAACTGTTATAACTTAGATGGGACGTGCTATCACACCAACCATATTCGCCAGATCGAGCACACTCAGATTATTACTTGTTCCGGTCTATACAAATTTTTTTTAACTGTAAGACATTTACTTGAAATGACAATGTCAAAAATCACTTGGATCAGTTTTTTGTAAGCAACGATCAAAACTTTTATGAATGTGAAATCATGCTACTACCAGAAACGATGACAACAGGTATTTGACCAAAATGATCAACATATAATTCAATAAAATATTTATTTATCATAAGAATATTGCATTTTTTTCCATGGAAAAACACGAACTTACTTTCCGAACAACCCAATAATACAAGATCATCTGCATATAATACATAGTGGTAAATTCTTCCAGAAATTTGAACGCCTTCAATGTCGAGTAGAAATAATTTATCAATATCATTTAGATAAAAATTAAACAAATATGGCGATAGCGGTTCTCCTTGTAGTAATCCTCGGTTTATGTTTAATTCTGTGAATATCTGGTTACCGTGACTAATGTTGATTCTGTAGATTGAAAATAATTTCGCAATTGAATCTGAGAATTTTTTCCTGAACCACATATTTTCAATTTATTTATCAAAGTTATGACATGAACTGAATCAAAGGCTTTTGATATATCGATGAAAGCTGAATATATTTTCCTGTTTTTTTTTTAGTAAGTAAATTTGTGTTATTGATAATAAGAAGAATAATGCCATTTCTGTTCTTTTAGATTTTATAAATGCGAATTGAAATTTTGAGTTTAAGTTAAGTTCGTCAGTCCATTGTTGGTGGCCAGTATAGAAGTAAAGCATTTTTGTAATGTTGGTAGTAATGCGATTTGTCTGTAATTTCGTAGTTCTTTTCTGTTTCTTTTTTTATATATCATTATCAGTTTTACTGTATTCCAATTTTCCAGAAAGTTTGCTGAATTGTAGAATAAATTGAATAATTCAAGCAATGCTCTTTTTCCTGATGGTGGTAATAATTTTAAGAATTTAACTGTAATTATATCCATACCTGATGCAGATTTTGTTTTCATTTTATTGATCGATGTTTCTAATTCGTCATAGGTCTTAAATTTGGATCTTAAATTTCATTTTCCAGATTCAGTGTCTCTATAATGGTTATATTAGAGAGGTTGCGGCCAACGTTTTCAACGCGAAAACGTGTACATCGGAGGTTCAACGTCGCTTTCCTAAAGGCCTAGAAGTTTGGCAATGGTGTTTGGAATGTCGAGCATCATTCTACTGACTATCCAAACATCATTGTCAGATTTCTAGGCTTATAGGAAAGCGGCG